TGCTCGTCAGGCATGCGTATCCGGTCATCTTTTGTCAGTTCATTCATATACTTGTACCCAGGAAGTGTATTTTCGTCACAATAAGCTTGTTTGCTACACCGGGTGACCATTGCATAGACGGCTCTCCCAGAGCCAGTTCAATGAAGAATCAATGTTATGAATCGATCTTTTGTAAGTGGGTTAGATACTACTAACCGCAGCAAATGTGACCTGATGGTCTTGGTATATATATGTTTACAGTAAAACATTACTGTTTGATCTCATCCCACCCTCCCTGCCCCCGATTCTTGTCGTTGCTTTGGCCGCCTGCTTGTTCGGGAGCCGGTGAACCGCATCGAGTGTGGTTGTCCGATGGAAAATGTTAATCGGTGGCTTGTGCGGATCAAATTATCTGCGGGGGAAACCATCCACAGCATAAATGTAACGATGCTTTGAATCGTTTATCCTGACAAACCTTTTAATTTCGCCTAATCCATCCGTCGCGGAATCTGCTCTGACAACCATGTTACCATTAGTTAGGTGCTCATTTTGATATAAACATTTTCTCTATCTCTTTCTCTCTGAGGTTTCCTCAAATTAGGGGTTTCTGACAAATAATCTACCACGTCACCACTTGATTCAATCGATAATATATACATAGGAGGGCTGATAAAAGAGTTTTTCCGGAAACACAATACACGTACGAGAAGGTGATGGCGGTGGGTGGGTACAAAGGCAATAAGCAAAGACTTGTTGTTACGTTTGAATTTCAAACTGTGTAGTCTCGGGCCAGTAGCCCGCCAGCAAAGTAGAGCAACCGTACCACAGGTTGATTAAGACTCGTGCACAATTAATCGTGTCAAGCGTACGCTCTCCAGAAAGCAGCAATAGAACTAGCAGCCAATCAGAATCGGGCCCATTTCAGCTGATAGTATTGGCATGGACAAGTGCGTGTGGTGGATCGATCTGAATAGATCACAATCGATAACATATGTGGAACGAGCAAATTTCCGATGAGCATTTTGACAGAACGTACACACTTAAGCCACAGTCGCGTATGCAACACGAGTATTCACCAGGAATTACTGCATCCGAATTATTGATATACGTCGTTAAAAACAAATCAGTGACATGAAAGCAAAAGGGAAAACTTATCTGAGCTGTTATGAACCGGTGTGCACAAGCTTAAATTTGATCACGGAATTTCGGAAGTGGTACATGCCTTAATTTCACGATAAAAAACAATGTATGATAATGGCAAAATCTCATCAGCAGCTGTTTCGCCGCCACGCACACTGATGTACGGTTCTTTTCAACCTGACTGGCCTCACGTTTTCCTTACCCGGTCATCTGCGCCTCGTACACGTTGTGTACTGCGTACGCCGGGAACGTTTTGCGTGGCCCTCATACGTTGATATTTATATCCCGAACGGAATCAACCTGATCTCGTTTTGATACCCATTCCCAAAATGATGTGGTCAATTTTGTCACGGTAAACATCTCTTTTTCCCCTTTAGTAGTTCTAAAGGGTGAATTGCTATCACCGCATTTGTAAACTGCACGAGAAATAGCACTTTGCTGTTCATTATGGCCTCCCAATATATTCTACCACATCTACGATGGTTCATCTCAACTTGAAATCAGCAAAGTGTAACATTTTCGCTTTTATGTAGCAGTCAGGACTGCAAACGATTACTTTTTTTCACCCGTGAGTAAAATCACTTAGTCCGGAGCTACACGTGTTATGATTCCACAGGGCGGTGCTCGGTCGAGGGAAGATGTTCAGTGCCAATCACGGCCAGGATGTAGTTAAATTGTCATCCATGCACCAAAATACCTCATTTGGAAAAAGTTTGCAGAATTCCCGCATACATAGGGTACTTATTGGAACTGTCAACTATCAGCTGTACATACTTGTACTCACCAAACCGAACAGCAGCAGTTTGCTTCAACCGGTCTTGCTCATTTTTGGTCTTTGAAAGAAACTGCTGATTGCATCTTTTTGCGTACTACTCACAAGTGAGTAGTATCTCACAACAACGGGTGACATCTTGAACAACGAGATTATATTCGTGCGAAACCAGTCCGGTGGCCAGAAACAAATCAGTGCTGAACAAATGTATTAGCACTTAGAGAGCACGGCCGCTGGTTGTCATGTCCTCGTTTTCCTCACTCGTCTCAGCTCTCGCCTCACGGTCACGGATCGATAAAAAGCATAACTATTCTGTTCTTTGTGAATACGCCGAGGTGAGCAGTGAATTGGTCAAATGGAACTCTGCGTGGAGAACACATATAAATCCTCGGAGTGCATTTGTTTAAACCACTTCGATTACTACTTGGAGTCACCTGAAACCAGGTGTACGGATGTGATGGTCACACATACGACTCTAAACTATAGAGCCACGTGTTACCTTGTATGCCCAAGAATTGCGGTGGACACAGAACATAGTTTTGCACAATAATCGTACATTGCCCCGTAGTGCTTCATTCTGATATGGACAAATTTATGTGATCCAATGCCAATACTATTCATCCATTTTGTGTTGTTATTGTTGTTTTGAATGCGCATGGGCTCAAGATTTTCAATCCTCCGTAGTTATGATACTTATCCAACAACGAATATCTATCCACAAGTCTGAAGAGCCTGGTACCATTCGAAATAGCCTTCTTGTTTGCACATTGGAAAACCTCAGAATAAACGAACGATCCCCTAGTGATTTATGCATTTTATAACAATATCAACACCTTTTCTTA